TGTATCAGCTGGAGGGGAGCGGGGCTAGCCTTGGATCGCTAATTCCCCCTTGCAAGGTTAGAGCACTGCCTCCAACTTGGAAGGATTTCTAAGCCACCCTGTGGTCCTTTGGACACTCGCCAGGGACCGTAGTGTCGCACTCTGCATTGCTTACTAACCAGTGCTCTCTGTGAGGGTCACAGCATGATAAAACGTAACTTTTTTTATATTAACATTCCACATTTTAAAATACTTTAAACAAGTTAAATTGATAATAAAACTGCCAGGACCTAAGAAAAACTAAAATGATCCATTATATATTTTCAAATACCTGCAAGTATAGTTTTAACCTGAAAAGAGTCATAATGTTGGCACAAGACTGAGCTCACCGAGAAGAGCACTGGGGGTCACCATCAAGCAGACCTTCCTTGTTGATAAGCTCTGAAGCTCCCTTAGAGGAGAGACCATAAGGAGGGCCTCAGATGGCAGTTATAATGTAAAGGTAGGTAAATACCAAGAAAAATCCATGAGGAACACCTTTGCTTATTACCATTATGTCTTAAATAGAGTGTTAACTCTCCCAATCTAGTTCTCTGGAATCAAATACTCTGGAATCATAGGTATATTTTATGGCAGAAGTGGGTGGAAGGTAGATCTGCATCTGTTGGAAATTCTCTGGGTGAGTTGCAGTACATTAGCAAGGATTTTTAAAATCCCAGTTATTGGAACTAAATTACTAATTATATTACCAAAATGAAGTAAGTGTGGGATAAAGAGAGCCAGTGTGGTGTGAGAGCCAGTGTGGTATAGTGTTTAAGAGCATGGGACTGGGACTCAGATGACCTGGGTTCTAGTCCCCGCTCAGCCATGGAGCCAACTGGGTGACTTGGGCCAGTCACAGACTCTCAGTCCAACCTACCTCACAGGGTTGTTGTGGGAATAAGATGGAGGAGGAGAATGATGTAAGCTGCCTTGAGCCCTTTGTAGGAAAAAGGCAGGATATAAATCGAAAACAAACAAACAAGCAGGCAGGAGTTTTTGGTGGAAGGATAGTGAGCTCCTTTCTGTTCAAAGCACATTTCTGAGCTCAGAATCCTTTGCTGCAAAGTGAATATTTTTTGTAACAGGCTCTGGATGGTGAATCTTGAGGTTCCAGTAAGTAATAAATTAGATCCCACAAATCTGTTATCTGCCTGCCCATGTTGAAAGGGGTCTTAGCCTAAGCCATATAGTCATGCAGACACCTGAAAAATCCACAAGAGGGCAGTGTGGTACAGCTAGAATGGCAGTGGTGCCCTTGTGTGAGATTTAGAAACATAGAAACAGAGCGAGTCAGAAGGGGTCTCCCAGGCCATCAAGTCTGACCTCCGGCACCAGCCGGCTCCGCTCACGACATGCCCACCATGTGGACGTCCAGCCTATCCTTGAACACCCTCACTGATGGGGCCTCAACCACCTCCTGGGGAAGCCCATTCCACACTCTCAGGGTCCTGACTGTCAGGAAGTGCTTCCTGGCATCCAAATGGAACCTGGGTTCCCTGAGCTTTGCTCCGTTGGAGCGTGTCCTGCCGTCCTCTGCAGGGGAGAACAGGTCTCTACCCACCTCCGTGTGACATCCCCTCACATACCTGTATGTTGCCAACATATCCCCTCTGAGTCTCCTCTTCTCCAGGCTGAAGAGACTCAGTTCCCTCAGTCTCGCCTCATACGGCATCCCCTGCAAACTGGCCACCAACCTTGTGGCCCTATGCTGCACTGGCTCCAACCTGGCTATATCCTTTCCGTAGTGAGGGGCCCAAAACTGAACATAATACTCCAATTGCGGGCACACCAGAGTCATGTAGAGTGGTAGTAATACCTCTCTTGATCTAGAAGCCACACTTCTGGCTATGCAACCAAGGGTGGCGTTCGCCCTCTTGACCACTGCATCACACTGCTGGCTCATGTTTGGCCTGCAGTCAACCAGTACCCCGAGGTCCCTTTCACAAGTGCTGCTCTCCAGCCACTTGTCACCTAACCTGTACTTATGGCACCTATTCCTATGCCCCAAGTGCAAGACCTTTCACTTATCCACATTGAACGCCATCCTGTTGTCTCCTGCCCACTTCCATAGTCTGTCCAGATCCTTTTGGATTTGGAGTACCTGTTCCTCAGTTGCGGCCACTGCTCCAGTTTTAGTGTCGTCTGTGAATTTGATCAGCAGACTGTTCACCCGTTCTTCCATGTCGTTAATGAAAAGATTAAACAGGATCGGCCCCAGGACAGAGCCCTGGGGGACCCCGCTTGTCACTGGCCACCATCCCGATGATTCCCCGCTAATGGTTACCTTCTGCTTTCAGTCAGTCAGCCATGCCCTAATCCACCGGACAGTGCTTTGGTGTATCCCAAAACTCCACCAGGATATCATGGGGCACTTTGTCAAAGGCCTTGCTGAAATCCAGGTATACCACATCCACTGCATCCCCTCCATCTAGCCATCTTGAAACCTTGTCATAGAATTCCACAAGGTTTGTCTGGCAGGACCTGTTTTTGCAGAAGCCGTGTTGTG